TTTATTTTTGGGACAGAGAGAGACAGAGCATGAACGGGGGAGGGGCAGAGAGAGAGAGAGACACAGAATCGGAAACAGGCTCCAGGCTCCGAGCCATCAGCCCAGAGCCCGACGCGGGGCTCGAACTCACGGACCGCGAGATCGCGACCTGGCTGAAGTCGGACGCTTAACCGACTGCGCCACCCAGGCGCCCCTAAAAATTTTTTTTTTCAATGTTTATTTTTGCGACAGAGAGAGACAGAGCATGAACGGGGGAGGGGCAGAGAGAGAGGGAGACACAGAATCGGAAACAGGCTCCAGGCTCTGAGCCATCAGCCCAGAGCCTGACGCGGGGCTCGAACTCACGGACCGCGAGATCGTGACCTGGCTAAAGTCGGACGCTTAACCGACTGCGCCACCCAGGCGCCCAAGAGGTTTCAAATATGAGTGATATTAGGTAGATTTCAGATTGTGTTTTGGAGGGGTGAATGGCCCAGAGCATCATTGCTCACTGAAGGAGCAGTGAGAATCATGTATTGCATTGTAATTGTACTTGTGTACTTGTGTGTACATGCTCTGTGTTGTTCTTTATTTATGCACGTTATCTTTTTTTTAATATGAAATTTATTGTCAAATTGGTTTCCATACAACACCCAGTGCTCATTCCAAAAGGTGCCCTCCTCAGTACCCATCACCCACCCTCCCTTCCCTCCCATCCCCCATCAACCTTCAGTTTGTTCTCAGTTTTTAAGAGTCTCTTATGCTTTGGCTCTCTCCCTCTCTAACCTCTTTTTTTTTTTCTTCCCCTCCCCCATGGACTTCTGTTAAGTTTCTCAGGATCCACATAAGAGTGAAAACATATGGTATCTGTCTTTCTCTGTATGACTTATTTCACTTATATGCACGTTATCTTCTAAACTGCTATAGGGCAAGAAGTATGTATTGTACTATTTTTCATATTTACATATGATTTCTTTGTTGCTGCTAGCATTAATTACAGTAAGAGGGAAATATATGTGGGCCCTGATAGAAAATAGGAAAGAAGGAAGACAGGTTTCTTTGTCCTAGTTTGTGAAATGCCAGGAAAAATGGCTAGAGCTTGTATTTTAATATGAAATGTATTCCTTGGGGGGTAATGTTAGAAGAAAGGATTTTTATAAAAGTACATTCTTGGTACTGTCACTTTTGAGACATAATTTTATAAAATCCTGTATAGCTAACGAGATAATGTATTAACCTCCACATTTAATGTAACTTTTTTTTTTTTTAAACAGAATGCAGAGTCAAAAAAGTTAAGTCCATCTGTGATTGAGACACTCCCTCCAGTTGATCTACATGAAGATTCTTCCAGTGTAACTGTGGGCAGTGAAAACATTGAAAATATTTCCAGCTCATCTACCTCAGAGATCACTCCAATCTCAAAGCTTGAGTAAGTCATTACAAAGAAAAAAAGAGAATCTCATTAGATTAATGATGGAAAAATGTCTTATCACATAAGGCAGCTTGAAATTCAGATTTGAAGTTTAGGCTATGTAGCAGACCTAAGTTATGATGCCTTGTTTTGCATAATGATTTTATTTTAATGTAATGGTCTTATGATATAACCAGTGTTTATTCTGGTTCCAAACTCAGTGAAGTAGATCCTAGCTATGAAATCTACATCCCATAAAGTGAGGTTCTACTTGTTTAAGTAACTGCTTATTTGAGTAATCTTCCTTATAATTATCAGATTCAAATGTCAGATTATTCACTTCCATCAAGTATTACTGCAGCATTCCATTGGTAGGTCTGTCTTTTTGCGAATAGCTCCCTTGTTCAAACTTGATAGTAAATACTCAGAATTTGTAGATCTAAGGTTTCTTTAATTTAGAAAATCGATTATGTACTCTTCTAGCTCCTTACAACAACACTACAAAGAACAAATTCCCTTCATACTGCATTAATCATTTCCTATATCAAATGAATTAATATATATTTAAAAATTGGATAGGGTAATATCTGGTACATAATAAAAATATATGTGTCAGTTAATATTATTATCATTACTTTTTTTAACTATAAGTAATTTTATTTTTATTTTTTTATTAAAAATATTAAATTTTAAAAAAATGTTTATTTATATAAATAAGGCTCCAGGCTGCGAGCTATCAGCACAGAGCCCATCATGGGGCTCGAATCCACGAGCAGTGAAATTATAACCTGAGCTGAAGTAGGACACTCAACTGACTGAGCCACCCAGGTTCCCCCCCCCCAAATTTTTATTACTGTTTATTTACTCTTGAGAGAGAGGGGGGGGGGGGAGGGGGAGTGGGGGAGGGGCAGAGAGAGAGAGAGGGAGATAAAGAATCTGAAGCAGGCTCCAGGTTCTGAGCTGTCAGCACAGATCCTGTCATGGGGCTTGAACTCACAAACTGCGAGATCATGACCTGAGCCAAAGTCGGACTCTTAACAGACTGAGCCACCCAAGTGCCCTATCATAAGTACTTTTAAAAACACTTATTCTTCTCAAGAACTTAGGGGGCTGGGGTGAAGGAGTTTTACTTAAAGATGTTAGAGTTTTCATTTAGGTGTTTATCCTAGGTAAGGAAGAAAGAAACAGAAGACAGGCTTAGAAATAATGGACAGTATTTAATAATACTTATTCCAGAAAGAATTTAAGGCTAAATATTATATATATAGACAGTACATCTTATTTTCCCTTTATCCTGAACATGACTGCTTCGTGAATTGGAAGTGAGTAGCAGAACATATTAGGGTATGTGTTTTTTAAGTGAAATTCTAAAAGTGTCTTAAGAACTTCAGTTGAAATGTTAATAGAGATAATAGATTATTTTTTGATACTATAGGCAACAACTAATATTGGTAGAATATACTAACCTGGAAAGGACCCATTAGGAAGATGCAGTTAAAATAAATAATTTTAAAATCTTATTTTTTATGAGACCAAGCACTAATGTATGATATTTTGTTTTAAAACTTAGCAGTTAGCTATTTAAAGGCCAAGGGCATTAACAGATCAAGAGTCAGCAGTTGACTTTATGTGATTTGAAATAAGTGAACTCTTGAAAACAGCCTGCCAAACTGTAAAGAATTCTCCTGTCTTAGATTATGTTTTGAAAATCACTAATACCATTTTTAACTTATGCCACATTATGTTCTTTGAATTGCCAGATTGTATTTTTTGTTTCTATTTTTAGTGAAATAGAAAAGTCTGGTACTATTCCTATAACCAAGCCAAGTGAAACTGAGCAGTCTGAAACTGATTGCGATGTTGGTGAGGTTCTTGATGCAAATACTCCGGTTGACCAGCCTTCCTTTGTTAGTCCACCTGAAAGGTGGGTGTGAGCCATTGTTTTCCCTTTTATAATTCTGTAATAATAGCAGTGTCATGTTTGAATGGACTTTGGTGCATACTTAATTCCACTTTATGATATAGAGAAAGCTAATCCCTTTGTGCTCCTTTCTTGGTTTACTTTGTACATGATAGTTGTAACAGATTAGATTGCATAAACTTGTTATTCAGCTGAAATTTTTTAATATGTCTTTTTGGTTTCAAATAGCCTTGTTGGCCAGCATATAGAAAATGTGTCATCTTCACATGGCAAAGGAAAAATAACAAAATCAGAATTTGAATCAAAGGTTTCAGCAAGTGATCAGGGTAGTGGTGATCCAAAATCTGCATTGAATGCTTCAGATAATTTAAAAAATGAGGTAGGTATATAACTTGCACTATTTCCTACTTTATTATATGTATTTTTATTTTTTGTTAATCTTGCAATTTGCTAACCATATTTGCCATAAAAACAGGGATTATGTAGTTAATGAGGAATATGGAACTGAGGAGTGAGCTGTGCTTTCTGAGAGCAAGTGGTCTCCAGTATATTGTTCATACATGAAGTTGTTCCAAATGTGAAATGTCTTTGGTATTTTATAATTAAGTGGTTTTCTGCTACCATCAGCTGTTTGATACCAGATATATAAAGTCCTCATTTAAGCATTTTCTTGGAGAGCTATATAGAAGAAGGTATGATTGTTAAATTTGAGTATCTGCAGTATATAAGCTTAACTCCATATACAGTGTTAAATTTAGGCTCTTCAATGAGAATTATTAAAAAAAATTTGTTTTTAATATTTATTTACTTTTTAAGAGAGAGAGAGAGAGAGAGAGAGCACACGTGCATGTGCATGAGCAGGGGAGGGGTAGAGACAGAGTGCAAGTGGGGAAGAGACAGAGAGGGAGACACAGAATCCGAAGCAGGCTCCAGGCTCTGAGCTGTTAGCACAGAACCTGAGGTGGGGCTTGAACTCACAAACTGTGAGATCATGACCTGAGCCGAAGTTGGACGCTTAACCGATAAAAGGCTGTAATTTTTAACTGTATTAATTACCTCCTAAATAAATTAATATCCTGGAAAAAAGTGTCTCAGCTAGGTACATTTTTATAAATTGTGTTCAAAGTAGGTTTTTATTTAATTTTTTTTTTTTCAACGTTTATTTATTTTTGGGACAGAGAGAGACAGAGCATGAACGGGGGAGGGGCAGAGAGAGAGGGAGACACAGAATCGGAAACAGGCTCCAGGCTCTGAGCCATCAGCCCAGAGCCCGACGCGGGGCTCGAACTCACGGACCGTGAGATCGTGACCTGGCTGAAGTCGGACGCTTAACCGACTGCGCTACCCAGGCGCCCCTCTGCTATATATATTTTTAATAGCCACATACTTTATTAGTCAGTTAGTTTGTTCTGCAAAACACTCCAACACAGAGGTTGTATGGGAACCAATTTGCTAACTCTTCCTTAGTATTTGCAATATATGCAACCGATAAGGATTACTGTCAACTACAAAGACTACCTACAAATCAGTAATGGAGGAGAGGAACAATATATTCAGCAAAGAAAATATCTGAAATAATCAAGAGATTATGGGTATTTGTATTTGTGTAATTCTAATACTCTAGTGTATTAGTGTAATTCTAATATACTAGTGTCAGTCCTTAAAAGTTTGCTTTAATATAGTGAGTACTCGTATTAGGGAAAATGTGCCCTATACCATATAGCACATGTGTACTATATGAGACTTGTGCTATTTGGCAGAGTAAGCTGTCTAAATAAATATTGTGCACTTCTCTAGGAACTGTTTGTAAATATGTTATGCATTGTTTTAGGAATACAGAAATAAATAATGGAATGAACATCCTTGCATAAATTATTCAGCTTACAGAAAAAAATTACAAATTGAATTTTTGCCTTTCCCCAGTTATATTTCTTCCCCTTCAGATAGAACACGTATCTAAAATTCAGTGTGTGTGTGTGTGTGTGTGTTTAAGAATGTGTTTTTAAACTTTTTCCAAAAGTATTATTATAAACAATACATACTATTAGTTGGCATATTTTGAAGCAGTATAAAATGGTCTCATTCTTAACTATTATGTGACTCAACATTGTTTTTGAGATTTGTCTGTCAATTGTTTTCACTGTTGTATTTCACTACCACAATTTATCTGTTCTTCAATACATGGGTATTTAGGTTGTTTCTAATTTCTGGATATTATAAACAGTGCTGCCATAAACATTCCTGCATACTTTCTTAGTCACATGCGCATGTTTTCACTGATATTAATACATAAGAGTGGAATTACTGGCTCATAGAGTATGCACATCTTCAGTTAATATTGCTAAAATTTTTTTTAAGTTTACTTATTTATTTAAGTAATCTCTACATCCAATGTGGGGCTCTTACCTCATGACTCCGAGATCAAGGGTCACATGCTCTTCCAACTGAGTCAGCCAGGTGCCCTCAGTACTGCTAAATTTAGAACTCCCTTCAGCAGTCTAATAGGTGTCTTATGGTTCAACAGACATGCCACACTTGAACCTTCATCAGATTGGTATAATTTATTGTCTCTGGTTTTCATTTGCATTCCTTGATTATCGATTATTTTATATTTTTTCTTTGCTAAATTTATTGTTCCTCTCCTCCATTATTGATTTGTAGGTAGTTTTTATATTTGGTAGTAATCCTTTATTGGTTGCATATATTGCAAATACTTCTTCCAGCTTGTGACTTATTGTACCATGTAGTTTATGGTTTTGTGATATGTTTAATTTAAAAATTTTAATCCAGCCAAATGTATCAGCCTTTTTTTAATGATTTATTCTTTCTTCATCTTGTTAAATCCTTTCGTATATAAAGATTTTTCTATAGTTTCTTTAAAAGCTTTGTTTTTCTTTAGATTTTTTTGTGTTTCTTTATGTTTTTAAATCCACCTTAAAATTTTTATGAGAGTGGTAATTCCTGTTAAGGAATTTTTAGAAACAACATGCCATATCTAGAATTAGTTAGCTTTCTTTATTTTATTTATTTATTTATTTATTTTTCAACGTTTATTTATTTTTGGGACAGAGAGAGACAGAGCATGAACGGGGGAGGGGCAGAGAGAGAGGGAGACACAGAATCGGAAACAGGCTCCAGGCTCTGAGCCATCAGCCCAGAGCCCGACGCGGGGCTCGAACTCACAGATCGCGAGATCGTGACCTGGCTGAAGTCGGACGCTTAACCGACTGCGCCACCCAGGCGCCCCTAGTTAGCTTTCTTTAATGCATATATTATTTTAACTTAGATTTTAAGGTGGATGCATTACAACTATAGTACTTACTAATTTGTATGGTTTATGTAGAAGTAATTGCTTAGGGTATATTATAAAGTTTTTTACAGCCTAGCTTATATTGCAAACGTGAAGAATATGTTTTGTGATGCTTTGGTAAAAGATTTCAATTTTTTCAAGAGAAACTCAACTTTTAAGTAAACCAAACCTTTTCTTTTTACATTTTTCATTTTTTTGAAATATTGTCTATCAAATATAAAATTGGACTTTAATTTCACAAAAACATTTGTATATTCTTTTATGACTTACTGTTTTTTGTGTATTCTTTTGCATTTTTTTTCAGAGTTCTGATTATACAAAACCAGGGGAAATTGACCATACATCTGTAACAAGTCCCAAAGACCCAGAAGATATACCAACATTTGATGAATGGAAGAAGAAAGTTATGGAAGTAGAAAAAGAAAAAAGTATGGAAGCGTTGTGATTCCTTTTTTTTTTTTTTTTGAAGGGGGAGGACTGATTTAAATTTGCATTTCTGTCTACAGTTGGTAAAATAAAGCTTTTGAAAGCCTTTTAAAGGTGAAACTTACCAAGATACTGTTGGTTTCACATATATAATTTACCTGTGTATAATTATATAATTTTAATCTTAATTAAAACCCATTCTTGTAAATTACTGAATGAGGATAAAATAAGATAAAGTAGGCAGAGCAGTGGTGTTTATTTCAATTTATAAGGAAATTTGAGGCATGGAAACTTTTGAGTTATAAAGCTTTAAACTGTAAATGGAGTTGGACTAAGATATTACACTTTCTTTTGGCTATTTCAGAGTTAAAAATTCTTAATGTTAGAGATAGAAGGACAACATTCATCCTTAATAAAATATGTATGCACAATATTTTGATTCTCATGGATAAGTTTCATTTTGAGAGTAGACATAAATCAAGTAATGTGGATTTTTGTAATTTGTTTTTTAGAAACATTTTAAAGTATTAAAGTAAAGCAGTTTGAATTGCTTAATGGGTTTTGAAAATATTCTCTTAAGCATTAAAACCTGGTCTTCACTAGACAGCAACTTACTGCTTTTGTGATCATTGTTTCCTGGGAGTATTTTTAATCATAATCATCACATATATATGTTTATAATAAGGTTTGTCTGCAGGTCAGTCAATGCATCCATCTTCTAATGGAGGTCTACATGCGACAAAAAAAGTCCAGAAAAATCGAAATAATTATGCCTCAGTAGAATGTGGTGCCAAAATTTTGGCAGCTAATCCAGAAGCCAAGGTACTTAACTATAAATTTCTTATATATGTATATATAAGAAACTACTAACTTGATTAAATAAAGGCAACTGTTTGCTCAGAAATCTCTATCTATATCTATATTATTTTGCTGAGAACTATATTTTAACATGAGCTATTTTTCTGATTCACTAATAAATGCAGGATTATGCTTTTAGAGACATTTTCTTGTATGAGTTCTTCTGTTGGTTGATACATTGTACTTTTTTTTCTTTCAAAGACTTTATTTTCTTCGAGCAGTTATAGATTCACAGCAAAATGGAAAGAACGGTAGAGATTTCTCATATACCCCTTACACCCACACATGTTTAGTCTCCTCCATTATCAACATACCTCCCACCAGAGTGAAACATTTGCTACAGTTGATTAACTTACACTGACACATTATTATCAGCTGAAGTCCATAGTTTACCTTAGAGTTCATCTTACTACATGGTTTTTGGGTTTGGGCAAATGTGTAATGACATGTACCCACCATTATAGTATCATGTAGAGTATTTTTACTGCCCTAAAAATCCTCTGTGCTCCACCTATCATTCCTCCTCCCCTCGACTCCTGGCAACCACCAGTCTGTTTAGTATCTTCATAGTTTTGTCTTTTCCAGAATGTCACATAGTTGGAATCATACCATATGTAACCTTTTCAGATTGACTTCACATTTTTAGCACTGAATAATACTCTGTTGTCTGGATGTGCCACAGTTTCTGTTCATCTACTGAAGGGCATTCATCTTATTTTTAACTTTTAAACCTGTTGAGATTTTAAAAAGGAAATAGCTAATAGAAAATCATTTTTCCTTTATGGTAACAGACATTTAATTTTAAACATTTTGTCATAAGGCTAACTTAACACTTACAGACATAACTGGTAAACTTCAGCCATTTTTATGCCTTCTTCTCAAATGAATGTTTTAGAATCTTAGTATTTGAAGATCTAAAAATGTAGAAATCCTAGAAGTCTTTAGAGTTGAAATAAATATTTTCCCATAAGTAATTTATTCCCTTCCCCCCTTTTAAAACAGAGCACATCTGCTATTCTTATAGAAAATATGGATCTTTATATGTTGAATCCTTGCAGCACTAAAATTTGGTAAGTAATATAAAATTTAATAAATTATGTACTTTAATCTATATATGTACATATATTATGGTAAGCTTTTATGTTAGGATTAATTTGTTCATGTAGTCACTTAAAAAGCATTTATGATTGACAGGTGCTGGTAGTATAATTATCTTAGGTCCTGGGATACAGAACTGAAGATAAAATGCCTTTCCTTTTAAGGTCACACCCACACACAAAAATAAGTCTAGTTAAACAATTATGAAATAGTATAAGAAGTATTGCTGAAAGGTTATTGTAGGAACAGAGATGATATATACCTGTGAGAGAGGATGAGAGGGTTTCCTAGAAGAGGTAATTCCTGAGCTGAATCTTGAAGGATTCATAGGAAGTCACAAATGAGGAAGGCAAAGGCATTCAGGAACTGTAAGGATAAGGAGACATACTAAAAGGAGCATATTTCTTTCTTCTTCTTCTTCTTCTTCTTCTTTTTTTTTTTTTTTTTGAGAGAGAGAGAGAGCACAAGTGTGTGTGAGGGGCAGAGGGAGAGAGAGAGAATCTTAAGCAGGCTTCACGCTGACTGTAGAGCCCAACACTGGTCTTGATTCCACAACCCTGGCTGGGATCATGACCTGAGACAACATCAAGAGTCGGACGCTCAACCAACTGAGACACCCAGGAGCCCCTTAGCTTAAAATTTTTTGAAGTTTATTAAAGACCACAGAGGTCAGTGTTTGTTTTAAGTAAGGAAGTAACGTGAGATCAGTGGTGTCTTAAGAAGGCTTGTCCTCAAAGGATGGCCTACAGCAGAATGCAGTTGGGAGCATGGAAACCAGTTAGGAACCTGCTTTAATTAAGGCATTGGCAGTTCAGATACAGAAGAGAGGGGGATATGAAAAATATAGCAGATAAAATTGGCAGCTCCTGGTTAGTAACTGGATGTGGAGAGAGTTATCTCGGAAATCTCCCAGGATTTTGACTACTACTTGGTTCTATAATTCTGCTGTTAACTAAGAACATAGGCAAAGGAACAGATTCATGGGGGGAAATAAGGTGTGCTCTACCAATAGTTTCATTAGATTTTTTTATTTAATTGCTCAAAAGCAGCTGTTCAAAAAAGAATTGAGTAAATCACCATCATACTGATTTACTAAAAATATATTATTTTTTTTCTTATTTTAAGGAAAAACTCTTTAAACTTTAAAGAGAGTGCTTATTTTCTACTGTCGGCCTTTGCTCCTTTTGGTACATTTAGGTTCATTTTGAAAATGAACACCAGATTATTAAAGTGTTTTAAGGGATAATTTTAAAAGCTCATTTTTCCTCATGTCATATATTAGATTTGAGGAAATGATTGTCTGCAATTGTAATTAAAATGTTAGGGGCGCCTGGGTGGCGCAGTCGGTTAAGCGTCCGACTTCAGCCAGGTCACGATCTCGCGGTCCGTGAGTTCGAGCCCTGCGTCGGGCTCTGGGCTGATGGCTCAGAGCCTGGAGCCTGTTTCCGATTCCGTGTCTCCCTCTCTCTCTGCCCCTCCCCCGTTCATGCTCTGTCTCTCTCTGTCCCAAAAATAAATAAAATTTAAAAAAAAAAAAATGTTATTTGGGGGTTTTGTTTTTATTTGTAAGAGCCTCTGTAGTCAGTAACAGACAGCTTAAGTGTTTATACTCCAAAATTTTGAATTTCAAGCAAAGACATGTTGGGATGAAGTTGTATGAAGTAGTCATAGCTACCCATTTGTATTTTAATGTTTCTGCCAAACAGCATGTATTGAGGTATATGTGTTTATTGCATATTTTGTGTTTGCTCATTCACGTATGTGTCTTTTCATGTAACTTTAGAACACCTTTAACTGATTTCACCTGATTGTAAGTAGGTTACTCCTCCTAAGGTATATTAAGACCACACAGTCTCACTGTAGTTTTAGAAGTCTTAATATCTGGTAGAACAAGTTTATACCTCTATTTATAGAGGTTATACCTCACTATTCTTGTCTCTTTGTTTTTTATTTTAAAATTTAGAGTCATCTTCTTGAGTTCTTTGAAAAATGCTGGCATTTTTATTGGTTGTATCAAATCTATAGATGAATTAAAGGATAATTGACATTCTAGGATTTTGAGTCTTTATTCATTTGTTCATTCGATTATTGAGCATGTTAGGTTGAACATGTTAAGTGATGCTGCTGGTGCTGGAGTAACATTGTTTCACAAAATAGACTGAGATCTCTGCCGTTGTGGAGTTTTTATCCAGAAAGATGTCAGTCCCTGATCACCAGTGAGATAGAGCATATTTTCATGTACCAGTTTTTCCTCTCCTCTGAAATGCTTATTTTATCCTATGTTTTCTATTGATAAGCTTTATTTTTTTAACTGGTTAGTAGAAGTCTAACTTAGCAGTTGTTTATCTTAGAAAATGGATACAATGTAACATTTTATCTTAGCTCTGGATGGAACATATAAATTATATATGTTGCACATATTTTCTCTAGTGTGTGAATTATCCTTTCAGTTTCTTATCAGTGTCTTGATGAATAGAAACTTTTAATTTTAATGTAGTTGTACTTACCTGTCATACAATTTTGGATTTGTTATATGTCAGATTTCTTTGGCATAAAAAAAAAAGATAACTCAAATTTTAAAATTCTACAAAATATTTGCCTTTCACATTTAGGTTTTTAATCCCAGTTGGATTTTTTTTAATATAGTATGGAGAAAGGACTCATTCTTCCCTCACCATTTTGCTGTTTAGATAATTGTTTATTCTTTAGTTCACACTTTCCCCTCTGATTTACAATGTACCTTTATCACAAAGTTTCCTTCTAAGCATGGGTTTGTTTCTCTATTCCCTGTTCTGTTCTGTTGGCCAGTTTATCGATGCCTGTAGCAACACCACACTTCCTTTTGCTTTATGGATCTCAGTACCTGGTAGAGCAAGTTTTTGCCTCATATTCTTCAGGACTGACTTGGCTGTTCTTCTGCTCTGCTTTTTCCTATAAATCTTGGACTTATCCTGTTGAGTTCCCCAAATGTCATGTCAAATTTTGTTTGGAATTTTATTGAATCTTCAGATGACTCAGATTTTGAGTTTTCTTATCCATAAATAGGACATATTTTTCTTTGTCTCTTAATGTCTTTCAGTAAGATTATTTTTTAAAATTTTCATGGTTGTATATCTTTTATTAAGTTCATTTCTGGGAAGCTATTTTTTGTTGCTATTGTAAATATATCTTAAAAATTATATTTTGTTGTGTATAGATGTCCAGTTTTTTATATGTGGATCTTAAACCCAGCTACCTTTTTATATTCTGTTTTTCTAATAATATGTGGATTATTCTTTAGGATTTCTGTATAGAAAATTGTAGCTTCTCTGCAAATTTTTCTTCTTTAAAAATTTTTTTAATCCTTTTCATTGTATTTTACTTTCTTTTTGTCATCTCATGCTGGCAAGTTCCTTGAGAAAATTGTGAATAGAAAGATAGTAGGCAGTATCCTCTTACTCCTTATTTTGAAGGCATTGCATCTAACCTTGTACCATTGGATATATTCTACGTTTGGAACTCAACTATAAACTCATCTGGGCCTATGGGAAGATACTAATTTTCTTTCAAGCATGTGATTTGAAAACTAAGTAATACATTCACATGGTTCAAACCCAAAAAGGATAAAGGAGTTACAATGAGAAATATCCTTCTAATCTCTGTCATCCATCTTCTTATTCAATGTTAAATTTTTAGATATCTTTTCAGTTTCTTTATGCAAATATAGACAAATTTATACAAATACAGATTTTTATACATCTTTTCACAGAATATAGTATATTATGCACACTATTTTTCACCTTGAGTTAAGTTTTAACTTAGTATCTGGTCATCTTTCAATTTTGTTCATAGAAAACTTTTTCATTCTTTTTGATAGCTGTATAAAATTTCATTATATGGTTGTACCATGACTTAACTAGTCTTCTGATGTTGGATATATGGGTTGTTTATAATCTTTTGCCATTGCAGTGTTACTGTAAATAAACTTGTGCATGTACAATTTTGGACTGGTGTGAGTAGATGGCATGTAGTATAAATGTTTAAACTACATTTAAAACAAATAGTTATATGACTAGGTTTTCTATTTATTCTTAAATTAGTTTTGGTAAATTATACTTTTCTAGGAATTGGTTTAATACATTTTTAAAGTTTTTATAATAAAGTTATTTGTAGTATACTGCTTAAAATTTTTTTTAAATCCTAATATTTTAATTTATGCCTCCTATTTAATCCCCACATTCTACTTTTACTTTATTGATTCCTTCTATCATACCTTTTTATTTTTTCCTATTTTATGGATTTCTGTTTGAAACTTTATTATTTTATATTTTCTTTAAGTTTAATCTATTGAACTAAATTCTTTTGAGATATGCACATTTAAGTTTATAAACTTCCTTCTTAATTATATCAACTAAATTTTGATACATGGTGTTTTATCACACTGCTTTTGTGTTTAGATGTCTGATCTTTTTTTTTTTTTTAATTTTTCTTTTTTAGATCTCAGATCTTTTAAAATTCCTGACCTATAAATAATTAAAAGAAGCATGTTGAAATTAGATTTGTCAACTTTTATATGTAGTTCTGTTAATTTGCGCAGAATATTCTCTGCTTCTAAGAAAACATAAAAGATGAGGCATAAAAATGAAAAAGCATTTTAAAATCAACTGAGGAATATTTACAACCTATTTACATTTTATGTATCATGCGGCTATTTATTAGGTGCATACACATGTTAGAATTGTTAAATCTTCTTGGTGAATTTACTTTTTTTTTTTTTTTTTAACATTTATTTATTTTTGAAGGAGAGAAAGAGCGTGAGTGGGGGAGGAGAAGAGAGAGAGGGAGACACAGAATCTGTAGCAGGCTCCAGTCCCTGAGCCGTCAGCACGGAGCCTGATGAGGGGCTCGAACTCACAAACTCACAAACATGTGAGATCATGACCTGAGCTGAAGTCGGATGCTTACCTGGCTGAGCCACTCAGCCACCCCTTTTAAAACTTTTTTTTTTATTGTTTATTTATTTTTGAAGGAGAGAAAGAGCGTGAGTGGGGGAGGAGCAGAGAGAGAGAGGGGGAGACACAGAATCCAAAGCAGTGAATTTACTTTTTATACCTGGTAATATATTTGTTTGAAAGCTTATTTTTTCTGATATTAATATATAGCTCATGTCTTCTTAGAAGTGGAGAACATTGTATACAAAAGAAAGAAGTGGGGAGAATTAACTTTTTATTTTCTTCTTAATACTCTTTCAGAGTATTGTCATTGTAAATAACAAGTAAAGTCTCAGTTTGATTTTCTTTAGTTCCCTCTCCCAAGGTTGTTTTGGTGGTATGGGAAATGTTTAGGCTTTGGAACCAGGTGGATTTGGATTTTGACTTTTAGCTTCACTGCTTGTTGGCTGCATGACTGTTAGGGCTTTTGATTTTGCTGCTTTAACAGAGACCGTGGAACTGTGGTTTAAATAAGAGATTTAATTTTCTTTGATGTAAAAGCTCAAGCTGGTAGGTAGTGCAGGAGTGTAAAAGAACAATGAAAGGACCCACACACCTTCTGTCATGTTCCTTTTCCTCCCCTGCAGGTGTTGACCCTGCCTGGGTTGCTGAAATGATTTATTCCTCCCACATTCTCATTACAGCCTGTAAGGCAGTAGAAAGCAAATGGAGAAGTAGCAGCTCCCGTTTAAAGGCTTGACCTGAAAATTGCACTTGACACTTCTGCTCACAGCCCATCCTCCAGAACTAAGCAGTATGGCCAAGACTGAGAAATACAGTGGCCATAAGAGCTCAGCTACATCTTGGAGGAGAGGTTTCTTATTAAAAGATAGACGAGAAGAATGTGAAGTAACCAATTAGTGTTTATTGAATTGTTTTATAAAATGGCGATGATAGTCTTTGCAGTGTGGTTGTAAGAATTAAAGGATGGATGTAAATCATCTAACATAGTATCTGACCCAGAGTAAGCATTTAGCAAGTTAGTTTGCTTCTCTTCATGAGCTTTTCTCTAAAACCTGATTGCTTTTGCCATCTCTTAGAACTTGGCTCTGTTGCTCTGTCATAAATTAAACACAATATGTTAATTTTAATGTTTTTGATTTATTTCACTGTCAATATATATAATAACATTTGGTATAGTTATTACATTATAGTAATGTAGTAATTATAGTATAGTAATTAGTATTGATTAGAGTGCTAGATGTCATGAGTATTTCTCTTCCCCAAATGCCATACTGTATGCAGTTTTATTTTACACACATGATACCATACTTTTAATTTTTCCTAAGAAGCAGTATTTTATGGCATTCTTCCATGTTTATAAGTACAGGTCACTAGCATCATTTTTAAAGAATAGTTTTATTGAGACGTAATTGACATAAAAATATATATACACATGTAAAATAAACTGCAACATGTCAAAATATGCAATATGATAATTTTTGACATTTATACATCTGTGAAATTATCACCACAATAAAGATAATGCACATATCCACCTTCCTAAAAAGGTTTCTCATGCTCCTTTGTAACTTTTCCTTCCTAAACCCTGCCCCCACAATAATTAAAGATCAGTTTTCTATCACTATAGTTTACATTTCCTAGATTTTTATATAAATGGTATGTGTAGTTTCTAGTATCATTTTTTTTAAACATTTATTTATTTTTGAGACAGAGAGAGAGAGAGCATGAACAGGGGAGGGTCAGAGAAAGAGGGAGACACAGAATCCGAAACAGGCTCCAGGCTCTGAGCTGTCAGCATAGAGCCTGACGCGGGGCTCGAACCCACAGACCACGAGATCATGACCTGAGCCGAAGTCGGACACTCAACCGACTGAGCCACCCAGGCGCCCCTCTAGTATCATTTTTAATGCCTGTTGGCATCTGATTGTTTGGGTGGACCATACTTGAATCCTCTATGCTAAACATCTAGGTTGACTTTTTCCCCCTGTGCCTTGCTATGTGACACTGTATATACGTACAGGGGTGAATGTTTGGATCAATGTGTCCTTAGGATAGATTTCTAAAAGTGTATTGCGGGGCGCCTGGGTGGCGCAGTCGGTTAAGCGTCCGACTTCAGCCAGGTCACGATCTCGCGGTCCGTGAGTTCAAGCCCCGCGTCGGGCTCTGGGCTGATGGCTCGGAGCCTGGAGCCTGTTTCCGATTCTGTGTCTCCCTCTCTCTCTGCCCCTCCCCCGTTCATGCTCTGTCTCTCTCTGTCCCAAAAATGAAAAACGTTGAAAAAAATTAAAAAAAAAAAATAAAAGTGTATTGCTAGATCAAAGGCTGTGTTACCCTTTGAAGCCACATATATGCCAAACTGCCATCTAGACTAGTCAGTTGACACTATTACTAACTGTCCTTTGTGAAGTCATTCCTTCTCCAAGAATGTGCTTTGTCATTGAAATATTGTTATCAATATCTTGTGTTATTTATAGTCAATATAAATATCTTGTGTTATTTATAGTTACCCCACCCCCCCAACTAATGATATGCTAGAGAAATAATGAGTAACTTAGTGAAACTCTATTTTATGCAAACTCTTTATGTTTCATATGAACTGTTATTTTGGTTGGTTTATCTCAATAATTGTCTTGTGTTCTTTTTTAAGGTTTGTTATTGAACTTTGTGAACCAATTCAAGTAAAACAGCTTGATATTGCAAATTATGAATTGTTTTCTTCTACTCCGAAAGACTTTCTGGTTTCTATCAGTGACAGGTAAATTCTAAAGCTGCCTTCTACAGAGTTTGTTAGATCTCCAGAATAAAAATTTTTAAATGAGTCACTTTTTAAAAAATTTTAATTTTATTTCTTTTATTTTAATGTATCAGTTTGTAAGAACAATAATACTACTACCGTAGTATTAGGCACTTGTGAATCAGGTTACTTTCATTAACTCATATAGTTTTTATAATCATCCTATGATCTTATTTATAATCATCCTATGATCTTATTCCTTTATAAGATGAGGTTAAGTAGTTTGCCTAGGTCAGGTGACTTATTCAAACCTAGATGTGTATGACTTCAAGGTCCTTTTTTTTTTTT